AAAAAAAAAAAAAAAAATCAAAAAATATTAATTACCATTTTTTATTTTTAACTTAACGGTCGAAATGTGAAAAGTTGAAAATCTTTTTCATTTTCACAAATTAAAAATCTAAGACAATTGCATTTTCACAAATTATTTATTTATTTTTTATTTTTTTTGACATGAGTGTTGAATCAATTTTCGAAATATAACAACAAAATGGTCCCTTTTTTTATACATTTTAATTACAAAAATACCTGATTTATCTTTTTTTTTTTTTTTTTTTCCTGCTAATAATGTCGAGATGGAAGGGGTTAGGCCGACGGCTAAAAGGTGAATATGCAATAGTTGTCGACAAGATATATCATGCTTAGGTGTAGTCGAGCACTTTATATTTAGTTTCGAGTTCGAGTCTTTCTTGAGATAAGTCGAATACAACTCATTTTAGCTAGTAATCCATCGAAAGAGCTCAAAATTCGATTAGTTTATCTATATTAACGAGCCGGGTTTGAGTTTTGACGAGTTGAACTCTATAAAATTATATCAAAAAACTTTAACGAGCTAAGCTCAGAGCAACTCATTTTATTCTACAACTCTGCTCATGCTATAAAAATTTAGGTTTATTCTTCTCAGAAAGAAAATAATAGAATAAAACTAATCTCACTATCCAACAACCCCCAAAATAATATTGCATGATGTCCCTATATATCCTACGTGCCAACTTCTAGTTGTTCGTAATTTTATGTATCAAATTCTGGAGTTCCATATTAACATATGTCAATTTTCGGTACTTCAAAGTAGTCCATGTAAATCTAAATTCTATATTAAAAACACTTGAAAAAATTAAATTATAATATATTTAAAAATTTAATAACATTTGTATTTGTTGTTAGTTTCTCATATATAATATATCACTTAATCATCTTTTGATGAACTTTGATATGACTTCCATATTGCCTTTGTAAAATAAAGAAATAATTTTAATTTATTATAAAATTAAACCATATATTAATACTAATTAATAAATTAATAACTTTTTGCCAATTAATTGGTAAATAATCCAAAACCTCTCAAAAACATATTTATCTACAACATAGATGTACCCGCATATCGGTTTTGTTATGGAGCCAACGGTTGGCTTCATAGTGGAACTGGAGTCAATCTTCTATATACCACGAGTAAACCATATCATGCATATTAATAAATTTATTAGTATTTATTTAAGTAATTTGAGAATATTGTATGATTTAATTGTCGTATATAGAAGGTTGACTCCACTATGGAGCCAATTGTTGGCTTCATAACAAAACCGACCCTCATATACGCATTCTTTTCTTTTGTTCATCTGATTGGATTTCACTGATTGAATCATTGATTGATTTGAATTTAGAGTTAAATAGTTTCATAATCTATAGTTAGTTTAGTTATTAGAATAGTAAGTCAATTGTTTGGACCAATCAGGGACCGAGTTTTTGTACAGAACGACATCACCAATATATAAGATAAATTAAATTAATAAAGTCTTACTAATTACTATTAACCAACTAAAATAAACAATGATTGCCACTCATAAAATGCATTTTAGCTCTATGCCCATTAAAGTTTTGTACATGTAGGAGGATTATTTTAACAATTTTATTGTGTGTGTGTGTGTGTGATTAAATATTCTATCTATTTATAGCTCTTCATTCAATTATAATGCATACTAATACAAAAGTTGAATAATGCTATGGTGGCACACTTGCTTCAAAAGAAAAAAAAAAATATATTTTGGGCCACACTAAGATACTCACAAAAGTAGAAGATATTAGGATCTTAATTGTTGCTATATAATTAGTGAAACATTAACTTTACAAATATGATTTATTTGTTACTTTATCAATTGCTTCTTATCAAAATATATGATTAATTGATTACATGGCAATTACAAGCGGAAGCGAGTCAAGCCGAGCTCAAACTCTTGGTATTCGAGCACAACTAGGTTCGATTAAAGCTCAAACTGGTTCTGCTTTCACTAGATGATATTCTTTTTCACGCATCCCTTTCTAGTGGACTCGGTATGTTTATCAATGTTAACGAGCGGGTTCGAGCCTAACTCAAGTAGCAACGAGTCGAACTATATATAAAACATAAAAAATCTCAATTTTTGAGTCTACCGAGCTTTAACAAGTCGATCGAATATTATTTAAATAAACTCGAGCTTGGAGCTCGGCTCGTTTGTCAGAAGACTCAAATTTAGTCAAACCGAGCTCACGAGCCACTCATTTTGTGTAACAACTTCACTTGTTTTGTCATGCTTTTATTTAAATTGACCTTATTTGAACAATAACTTGTCTCTAAACATTAATTATGAGTAAGGCCAAAAAATATGGGGCAAGCATGGTATTGTACATCTTGAGCTATTATACATATATAATTTCAATGCTTCTACATATAACACAGTGTTATTAATTGTATTTTACTGTTTGCTTAATGTACTCAGTTAACAAGTCTTTTTTTTTTTTTAATTACAGTAATTTAATTTAAATTGAGGTTTTATATATAGCCTTAAAATCCAACTTTTGGGCGTGAAATCACATGCGATCTTTCTTTTCGCGCATGCCAAAAGCATATGAGAATGGCGTGGCATATTATATGTCACAACAACCTATCTATTTCAATTAATTTTTTTCAATAAGATAAAAATATGAGAATGGCGTGGTATTATTATTATTATTATTATTATTATTATTATTATTATTATTATTATTATTATTATTATTATTATTATTATT